TCAGACACCCTACAATGAAAGTGGCACGTGAGTACAGAATTCGATACAGGAATCCCGGGCCCTGGATCATGCACGGATTTTAGAATGTTCCAACTATTAGCTATGAAAATAAAAAAGCTCACTCTTAACTCTTGGGCACTAGGTTTAAATAATTTTCTTTATTGTCTCATATGTAGTCATCACAAGAACTCTGTGAGGCACACGTTATTATTTTTCCCACCGTAGATTTGAGGAAATTGAGTTTAGAGAGTTTAGACAGCTCGACAAAGGTTATCCAACAGTGGCGGCAGTGATCCTCAAATCCACCTCTATTTGACATCAAAGTCTGTACTTTTAACTACTACATTATATCTCTAAATATAACAAAAATTTACGAATGGGGCTGGAATGATGTTCCTTGTAATGAACATCACAGTTAAGGTCGTGGCCAGTTATTGATTTAATATTTCTCATAAAGCAAATAAGCTAAATTGTGATACTTATAATATCTCATATTCATGTAGGTCTTTTAAAACTCTTAAATCCTTTAGTGCATTTTAGGGTAATACTACCTTTGATCCTCATATCATAAAGGAATATGACTCTAGTCTCTATTTTTTAGATATGGAAATCAGGAAAATGAAATTATATGTCCAAGATAACAGGGATGTTAGCAGATTTAGGGATTTTAGCTAGCTCTTCAGACACCAAAAGCAATATTTATTTATTTATTTTATAAGTTTATTTATTTATTTATTTATTTTCAACATTTATTTATTTTTGGGACAGAGAGAGACAGAGCATGAACGGGGGAGGGGCAGAGAGAGAGGGAGACACAGAATCGGAAACAGGCTCCAGGCTCTGAGCTGTCAGTCCAGAGCCTGACGCGGGGCTCGAACTCCCGGACTGCGAGATCGTGACCTGGCTGAAGTCGGACGCTTAACCGACTGTGCCACCCAGGCACCCCAGCAATATATATTTAAAAAAAGGAAACACACTACAGTGGTATCTGGGACTGGGATGAAATCTTTTTTTTTTTTTTTTTTCTTTTCTTCATCATTTAAGGGAGCTTATGGACTGGTAGTCCCCTGGGAACAGGACATAATGATGGACAAATAGAAGGGCTATCTGCTAGGAGAACGTTTAATGCAATGAAAGGACACAATATCGGGTGATGCACCGTTTCTGAGGGAAAGGCCAGAGTTTCAGGCGGAGGAGAAACTGCATGAGAAATGGAGACGGAATGATTGGGGCATATCCACCCTTGACATCCACACAGTTCAACCTCAGCCCCCTTCCTCACTGTCTCTAACCCTCTTCAAAGCCCTGTGTGGAGAAACAACCTCATCCAGTTTTTTCCCTTTCAGATTTTGGCACTCAAGTGAACCCAGTAATCTTAATGAGCGTTGTGTTATATTACATTTTCGTCGTGGACCGAGAGAATGGGGCTGGAATGATGTTCCTTGTAATGAACATCACAAGTCACTTTGCAAGATGACGAAGATCTACTTATGAACGGGACATTCTGCATGAACATGTGGTTGAATTGGAACCCACCATCACAGAGATAGCTAATTTGCTCTTTTTATTCATGTGTAAATCTTGTGGAAGGACGCTCCATAGAAGTTTTCCATAGGCTGTCACCTTTTCCATTTATGAGAGAATCAGTATAAGCATTCATTCATTTCTTCCTTCTCCATGTGCAGAGATCATATTTCTGCAGACAGATGGAGGAAGCATGAGCCTCCTTTCCTAATTTTGAGGAGTTAGGCATTGACGTAATTATATATGATATTGGTATAATTATATGATGGGGTTCCTCTCTCTGTCTGGATTTTTTTTTTTTCCACGAGAGTGATCAAAAGCAGAATAATCCCAACTATTACTTTCCATTTCTCTCAGACATTTATCAGCTTTAACTGAAGCATGTTATGTGCCAGTTGGAATATGATACACATCAATGGAACTTAGTTTCTGGCTTTGGCCCAGTAGACCATTTGGGATTCTTAGCATTCTCTGCTCATTCTTGGACTGTCACTTAACATCAGGGTGCACTCAGAGGGAAATCCAAAACTGAACATTAGAGATTTAGAAGTTATTATTAGTGAGTTGACATAGACGTATAATCATTAGGTATTCTGATAGTTTTTTTTTTCCCTTAAATTTTATAGTATCTGTGTGTAGATTGCCACTCAAAATGGCTCCTGGTTTATTTGTATTCCCCTTTGCACTGAATTCTTACAGATCATTTTATTTCAACTACAACATAAAATAGATTTATAATGAAGCCTGTTATTCATTGCTTTCATATGCTAATTATAATTGATCATAGTAAAGCTGATTCTAGCCATGGCTATCCAAGTATGACTTCTTGAGATTATGCCCCGATTATCTTGATACAACTGAGTAATTACATTTGCCACTCATTTCCTGACTGTATCTAAAAAGGAGTTGTTTTTATACGGGTCTGATCTTATCCATAGTATGTAGAACTTACCAGTTTACTCCTCGGAGAGCAACTTACAATCATGGAAGAATTTCAGGGAAGCTTTATTGACAAAGAGTTTTCCTCACTATTATTTCAATAATAAGGGGTTGGAATGAAGAGCAAAAAGAACCACTTTACGAAATGCTTTTGATTTTCAGAATAGAGGGTGTGCTTGAACTGGAGTGCAAGGAGAGTGGTGACATTAGTCATTGCTGGAACTTTCTCTGATCTCCACCTTATATCTTATGAATGTGGTTCAGATCCTATTTTCTTTAATTTTCCATAAAGCACCACTAAATTAAGATTGTGGGTAACAGAGTTTATGTAAGACTTGTGTTTAAAGAGTGATATTAAAGTGAAGAGGCATCCAGCTGACTTCAAATCAGTGGACAGAATTTTGAAAAATAAAGTTGCTTTAAGCCACTAATGTTTTGGGGTGGTTTATTATTTAGCAATGTATACCTGAAACACCTGTGAATTATATTGTGGATTTGAACCAGATTCTGCAAAATAATGAAACATATTCAATCACATTGCTGTCTCTGAAAAGATTGACAGTTTTTGGGCTTTTCTTGTGGGTTCTTTGGGGGAGAATATCTCGAGAACTGGTGGGCCCTGCCTTTTTTGCTGTGACTCTTAGCCATTCTGTGCTTCTGGTAACCCACCCTTAAACTCGAGCCATTTGTGAAAGCAATTTTTAAAAAAATTTTTAAATGATTATTTATTTTTGAGAGAGAGAGAGAGAGAGACAGAGTGTGAGCAGGGGAGGGTCAGAGAGAGAGAGGGAAACACAGAATCTGGAACAGGCTCCAGGCTTTGAGCTGTCAGCACAGAGTCTGACACGGGGCTCAAGCCCACCAACTGGAAGATCATTACCTGAGCTGAAGTCAGACGTTTAACTGATTGAGCCACCCAGGTGCCCCAAAAGATTGACAGTTTTTTTTTTTTTTAAATATATGAAATTTATTGTCAAATTGGTTTCCATACAACACCCAGTGCTCATCCCAAAAGGTGCCCTCCTCAATACCCATCACCCACCCTCCCCTCCCTCCCACCCCCCATCAACCCTCAGTTTGTTCTCAGTTTTTAACAGAAAGATTGACAGTTTTAAAGTGAGAGTAGGTTAATTTTATCATTAAGTAAATAAAATGCAAAATTAAAGTGTTTGTTTTTTATACAATTTAATTCTTACTCTTGTGTTGTAGGCATATTATATTACATCAGAGGTATGTGGTTCTTAAAGTTCAATATATTAAGTGTGCATATATAATTTTTTTCAAATATTAAGTATGAGCAAACAAAAATTGTTTTCAGACCACTATTCTAGAAGATGGATTTGAAAATGCTTGATTGGGGGCGCCTGGGTGGCTCAGTCGGTTAAGCGTCCGACTTCAGCTCAGGTCATGACCTCACAGTCTGTGAGTTCGAGCCCCGCGTCCAGGCTCGGAGCCTGGAGGCTGCTTCCGATTCTGTGTCTCCCTCTTTCTCCGTCCCTCCCCTGCTCACACTCTGTCTCTCTCTCCCAAAAATAAATAAACATTAAAAAAAAATTTTAAAAAGAAAATGCTTGATTGAAGTTTAGGTAATTGTTCCATCTGAGGTAAAAGAAAAATACAAGCTACAAACAAAACTATTTGAAGAAAGTTGTGTTTATGTTGGTTTATTAAGAAGATACATTTAAGCCTATGAATGAAATATACTTAGAATTTTAGTATCTATATTCATTTTTATGTTGCTATTAAAAACAAACATATAAATAAATAAATCTACCAACACCTAAAGCCCTTTTAGTCAACCTGCCACTTAGTAAATATGGAAAAGGAAGCAGAAGCTGTGGAATATTCAGTACTGGGGAAAATACTTTTGCTCAGTGGAGTTAAAATGATCAGCCTGGATGATTTTTCTGAAGCTGGGCATCTGCTGACACATGACAAACCCTTCTGAGCCTGTTAATATTCATTTTGTCTTGATGATGATACTGAAACATGAATTAATAATAGTTTTGTCTTTGCCAATATGGAAATCATCAATGGTACCCACTTTGTCAGAGATGAATTCAGTGACTCGGGCAGGGAAAAAATAATGTCACAATTCAAATGTATTAAACCATCTGTTCAGTATGTGTTTAATTAAATCAACCCCATTTTCTCTACATAATGGAATGCTCTGCATTAGTGAAAATTGTTGCAAATGGAAGCACATAATAAAGAACCAGTAGTTAGGACTGTGGTGCATGTTGTTGGTCTGTACGTTTTCCTTAGAAGCAAAACTTTGATTTTCTTTACAGAGAGTCATTTTCTTTCATGCAGCCCAGGTGACCTCACTTTCAGCTCTGTGAATGGATACTGATTAACTCAAGGCAATCAAAATAATCACCCTAGTGGTTGGTTTAGGAATAGGCACACATTGCAAGGTAATCCAGTGAATCCCCTCCCCTTGTTCTCCAACGAATCCGGGAGCGAATCTCCCTCTCCCAAAGAATGTGAACAGAGAAGTATGTAGCCTGCTTGCTACTAATAGTCATTCTATCGCCATGTGGGGAACCAGCTTTAGAATGACAGAAACACCATGGGGTAGGACAATGGAAAGAATCTGGTTTCTTAAGGGTATTGTTGAGCCACTGAATCAGCTATTCCTGAAGCATATTCTACTCTGAATTTTTAATCAAAACTAATAAGTTTTCTAATTTAAGTCTGACTGAGTCATGACCGATATAAAATAGTATATTTTTAATTGACCTAACTTTATTGGGATTCAGTCATCTAAGGAAAGAAGCTAACATTTTTAGAGCACAGTTCCATGAGTTTTGTTTGTTTTAGATTCCATTTATGAGTAGAATCACATGGTATTTGCCTTTCTCACTCTGACTTATTTCACCTAGCATAATACCTTCTAGGTCCATCCATGTGGTCTCAAATGGTATGATCTCATTTTTTTAATGGCTGCATAATATTCCAGCGTGTGTGTATACCACATTGTCCTTATCCATTCATCTATCAATGGGCAGTTGGGCTGCTTCCATAATGTGGCTATTGTAAACAATGCTGCGTATTGTTTACATTTTATGTTTAAAATGTAAACAACATGTAAATGTTTAAAATGTAAACATTTATGTTTAAAATGTAAATGTTTATTGTTTAGCATTTAGGCATGCTGCGTATATGCATAGGGGTGCGTATATCCCTTCAAATTAGTGTTTTCGTTTTCTTTGGCTAAATACTTTGTGGTGGAATTACTGGATCATATGATATTTCTGAGTTTAACATTATTGAGGAACTGGCATACTTTTTTCCACAGTGGCTGTAGGAATTTACATTTCCACCAACAGTGCATGAGTGTTCCTTTTTCTCGACATTCTCATCAACACTTGTTATTTCTTGTCTCTCGAGTCCAGCCATTCTGAGAGGTGTAAGGTGGTATCTCATTGTGGTTTTGATTTGCATTTCCCTGATGATGAGTAATGTTGAACATCTTTTGATGTGTCTGTTGGCCAAGGGAAATTAATTTTCAATAGAAAGATGCAATTTTGGGGGCGCCTGGGTGGCGCAGTCGGTTGAGCGTCCGACTTCAGCCAGGTCACGATCTCGCGGTTCGTGAGTTCGAGCCCCGCGTCGGGCTCTGGGCTGATGGCTCGGAGCCTGGAGCCTGTTTCCGATTCTGTGTCTCCCTCCCTCTCTGCCCCTCCCCCATTCATGCTCTGTCTCTCTCTGTCCCAAAAATAAATAAACGTTGAAAAAAAATTTATAAAAAAAAAAAAAGAAAGATGCAATTTTGGGGGTGCCTGGGTAGCTCAGTTGGTTAAGCGTCTGACTATTTCCGCTCAAAAATTAAAAAAAAAATTTTTTTTTAAGTATATAATTTGAGGCGCCTGAATGGCTTGGTTGGTTGAGCATCCTACTTTGGCTTGGGTCATGATCTCGCAGTTTGAGAGTTCAAGCCCCACATCCAGCTTACTGCTTGCTGTCATCTCTGAGCCCAATTCGGATCCTCTGTTCCTCTTTGTCTCTGCCCCCTCCCTTGCTTGCACTCTCTCAAAAATAAATAAACCTTTAAAAAAATAAAAAGTATACAATTTTTGTTACTGCATTTATGAAAAAATTCTTTATTTTTTAATTTTTTAAAGTTTATTTATTTTGAGAGAGAGAAGGAGCACGCATGTGAGTAGGGGAGAGGCAGAGAGAGAGGGAAAGAGAGGGAGAGAGAGAATCCCCAGCAACTGACAATGCAGAGCCTGCAGGGCTTGAACTCATGAACAGTGAGATCATCACCTGAGCTGAAACCAAGAGTCCGATGCTTAATTGTCTGAGCCACCCAGGCGCCCCTATGAAAAAATTCTTTAAGTGGATCTGAAGTTTTCATCAGAACTTCAAATGGGTTAGTGGCCCAGAAGAGTTTCATCATTGTTTATCTGGTTGATTTCAACTTCCCAACATCTTATCTTCACGACTACAGTCCTCTGATAAGGGCTAAAGAAAAACAAAATCATTGAAGGTTACACAAATAAACTGTTCTCCTTCTGGTAATGGGGAACTATTTTGTTACAGACCAACCCTTGTAACAACAACAATAACAACACTAGCAAGAGGAAGTTGGTTTCAAAGCACTGGGGAGCTATCATGGCACTGAAGATTTGAGGCACATGAAGGTAACAACATAACCATGAACAGTGATCAGCCATTCTTCTTCTAATTTCTTGGAATTAGGTAATCCCTAGAATCTTGATGTAATCCCAAAGGATCATCTGAAGAATGACTTATATGAAATTTCTTATCATCCAGTGTTATTATAAGAAACAACAATAATAATCTCTTGAGTTGAAAATAATGAGATGCTCTATATTTTGTATTGTGAGTCTGTAGACCAAAAATATCTTAAACACATTTGTGTGGGAAAATATCGGAGTCTAAATATCTCTTAGAAGGTAGTGCTTGCCTCCACCTATTGATTAAGTTGTCTTTAAATTCTTAAACAGGAGAATCAAACTGGGTCTGCTTAGTTCAATCATGGACAGTAATTTTCAAAAGGGCAACACAGTGCTGCTTTCTTAAAAGCATTTGTTTCAAATTGCTGATTCACTCCTGATGTTCCCTTCCAAAGAGTTCAAGTCAAAAGGACAATATGCATTTTGACTCTAATAGTATGTGATTTTATTTTCAATCCGTACAAGTTATTATCTTTTCCATTGCTAGTTTTTGCATGGCTCCCTTATTAGACTCAAATGTCCCATATTTGTCTGTACATCTGACCTGAACCTACCACAAGTCTCCTTTTGATCTAATCTCCCATTCTCCCTATTAATTTTTTATTTTGTTTTTTGTTTTGATCCTGTTTGCCTTTGCTCATATCATCTCAGCGCTCTATTCAAAGTCTTGCTACTGTAATCTAGAAATGTATAAGGAATGAAAAGAACAAAAGAAAATGGAGCACAGGGCTGCCAGTGGTCAAGACCAGAAAGTGACTTAGGGAGCACATACTGGAGATGGGCAATGAGCAAATAGGTCTTTAAACTGATTTTCCTATATATAAAGTTTACACATTTTCTTTGGACCATCTCATACCTTGGGTTTGTGTTTCTTGATCTCTGAGGGGAACTGGAGGCAGATGCATAGGTTTTATAACCACTTCTCCTTCCCCTCTTACGACTTGTTGTATCTCTCTAACCAACCCCAGGGAGAATTTTCTGGGCTTTTACTACTGTTCTCAATATCTATTTTATCATTCACTGTAACTATGCCATCACTTTAAAAGCTTGTTGAGTACAGTATGCACCTATTCACATTAGGATTTTTTTTTTTTTTGTATTCAAGACTGCTCACTTGAGAATGTGGAGATATTTGTGATATTAATAAAGAGAAAAGTCTACATTCTAGAGACTGTATGTTTTGAAGGATCCCCAAGCTCCTGAGTAATTAGAAGGAATTAATGAAGGCTGTCTTTGCTGTTATACCACTTCAAGCTCCCCCTTACCTACTCAGGGAGATAAAAGATGACTAACCTTGGGGCGCCTGGGTGGCTCAGTCGGTTGAGCGTCCGACTTCGGCTCAGGTCATGATCTCACAGTTTGTGGGTTCGAGCCCCGCATCAGGCTCTGTGCTGACCGCTTGCTCAGAGCCTGGAGCCTGCTTCAGATTCTGTGTCTCCTTCTCTCTCTGCCCCTCCCCTGCTCACGCTTTGTCTCACTCTGTTTCTCAAAAATAAATCAATGTAAAAAAAAAAAAATTAAAAAAAAAAAGATGACTAACCTCTGCCCAATATTGGTCTTGATGCAATAAGAATGTTTCATCGCTTTGCAGATAGATTCCAGAATCTTCCATTTTACGATCATATTCCTGAGCAATGTCTATAGATCTTTATGTAATTTCTATATTAACCCTTATTATTGAGGCCATATCTAGTCAATCAGACTTTTGCTTACTTCTAAGACCCTCTTCAATACATGGATTAAAATTTACATAAAATCCAATTTGGCTTGGGAGCACTGAAATTAAGGCCTACAAATAAATTTCTTTTAGGGCATATGAAATTTTCTATTTTGCACACCAGAATAGGAATCAGAAATCTTATGTCAGGAATTGACACATAATCTGAAATTCATGTCAAAGTTCCAATGAGCAGTTTGGGGTATGTTTCTCAATTTCCTCTTATTTTTCCCAGTATTTTTAAAATAACTTGAAACTTATCCAAACCACAACTTCTTCTTCAAGACACAGTTTTTACCAGAAGTCCCTTAGCCTCATAAGAGTGTTTAGCAGTTTGTCTCTGAGCTCTGATCTCTTTGACTGAAGCAGAGCTCTGGTGACATCTTCAAGAGCAAGTGGTAAAAAAGAGCCTCCTGAATCTTCTTTTTTTTTTTTTATTTTTTTTTATTATTATTTTTTTCAACGTTTATTTATTTTTGGGACAGAGAGAGACAGAGCATGAACGGGCGAGGGGCAGAGAGAGAGGGAGACACAGAATCGGAAACAGGCTCCAGGCTCTGAGCCATCAGCCCAGAGCCCGACGCGGGGCTCGAACTCACGGACCGCAAGATCGTGACCTGGCTAAAGTCAGACGCCTAACCGACTGCGCCACCCAGGCGCCCCCTGAATCTTCTGAATACAGAAGATGATGGTACGAGAAGGGCAACCTCAAGATAGAGATGAGCATTCCTTTTCTCAGTTCCAGAGAGGAAGGCAGAAGTATACGATGAGCTGATAAAGGTCATTGGGAAACAAGGGGTAGACCACAGATTGATGGGACCAAGATTGGGCCACCGTAGTAAGAGTGATGGGAAGTTGAAAGAAAGAATAATTCGTCAGAGCCAGAAGCACTTCAAACAGTAAGAAACCAAATACTAATACAGTGGTATGGGAAGAGGGAGGCAAAGTGGTGTTTTCAGCAAGACAGAGACTCAATGGATTAGCATAATATTTAAGAAGAAAGAATAAGGAAATGGGAATTATGGTTGGCTGAGGGTGAGTTTTGCCCAGATCGTTTAGGACTACAGAGCCACTACTTGCTTATTTATTCTGAAAGAGTCTTCCCCGCCCCCCCGCTGCTCTTATTTTTTAGAGAGAGCATGAGTGGGGGAGAGGGAAAGAGGGAGAGAGGGAGAGAGGGAGAGGAGAGGAAGAGAGAGAGAGAGAGAGAGAGAGAGAGAGAGAGAGAGAGAGAATCCCAATGCAGGGCTCAATCCCATGACCCTGGAATCATGACCTGAGCCAAAGTCAAGAGTCCAACACTCAACCGACCAAGGCACCCAGGAACCCCTATTCTGAGGGAGTTTCTAAGCTCTCTCTTGTTTTAGGTTTTTAATTACTCTGAGATTCTTCATCTGGTTTCTTCATTGCTCTAAGCTTCCTAAAAATTTTCACTTCCTGGCTTCTTGATAACTGCTTTTGTCTTGCTGGTCTGACAGAGAAAGCAGTATGGCGGTCCCAAGTAAGATTCTGGTCTGTTGCTGTGATTTCCATAGCACTCCTCAGTGCTTGTTTCATTGTGAGCTGTGTGGGTAAGTTCTTCACTCAGGTGCCACTTCCCTTGATTCCTTTTCCTATCCTGTTCTATAAAGATTTCCTAGGGTATGTTTTTTGTTTTTGTTTTTTTTTAATTTCATTAATATGTTAGCTCTTACTTGGAATACCATATTTGATTTCTCCTCCTCCTCCTTCCTTCCCTCCTCTTTTTCCATCTTTTGATAATTGACTCTGCTTCCGGATCTACTTTACCTGGTTTTATTAACACGATCCCCACTATGGCCTCACATATGAATGTGTGTTAGTTGTAGACATCCTTTAAGACACATCATCCACTACCGGGTTCCCTAGTGATCACTGTTCTCTGGGCAAAAAGTCCTCTATTTTGAGACTTCAACTATAATTACTTTTATAATCATAATATAGATTAGGCTCTTTGATTTTCATATGGGAGTCTTTCCCAGTATGAGACGAAAAAGTTTTCAAATGCAATCTTGAAGATATAAGGGAATGAAGTTTTGTTTTCCTTGTTCAATTTACTTGCAAGTAAATATTTCAAGTTCATTTTGTGAGAAGTTTCAAAGATCTGTTTGCTCTTTAAGCTACAATTTGGTCCTCTTTTCATTGATAACGTAATTAAAAATAATAATGAATAGTCTGGGAGGGAGTGAAAGTGACTACCTATGTCAAATGGGCCATGTTTGAAATTCCTTCTGAGATGTAAACCAATCTCACAGCCTTTGTTGAAACACGGTTATCACCTAAGTTAAAATCTGCTTTACTTTTCATGGTCAAGTGCAAAAGAGAAGGAGGTTTAAGAATAGTTATTTCATTAAAGGAAGCAGATATTCAGGACCCAAGGTAGAAAGTCTTGACTGTATTGAGCTTCAGTAGTAGAAGGGCAAGAAAAAGTAAGTGAAGAGTCATGGCAGAACCTGAGAGAGAATAGGTCATATGCTTAAGGCACACACCCTTGAGCGTAAAAGTGAATGTTTATCTGAGACATTTAAAATGTTTAAATGTTGGGGCGCCTGGGTGGCGCAGTCGGTTAAGCGTCCGACTTCAGCCAGGTCACGATCTCGCGGTCCGGGAGTTCGAGCCCCGCGTCAGGCTCTGGGCTGACGGCTCAGAGCCTGGAGCCTGTTTCCGATTCTGTGTCTCCCTCTCTCTCTGCCCCTCCCCCGTTCATGCTCTGTCTCTCTCTGTCCCAAAAATAAATAAACGTTGAAAAAAAAAATAAAATGTTTAAATGTTAAAAGTTCCCCTTGGTTGTTATTTACCCCATACGTTTATCTGTAGCTACCAACAGTCACAAATTTTAGAAAATATTAAAATAACCTGCAAGCTTGCTTCAGCATTATTAACATTAAGGAGAAACAGACAGCCAGCGAGTCAGAAAATATCTATTGATTACTCTGTGACCATCACTGTTCCAGGTGTTGGCGATCGATCGATGTGGAAAACAGATCAAATCTCTGCCCAAGAATATAGAACTTAAATTCCAGTGCGGAAAGAACCAAAAAATAAACGGGCAGGCATATAAACAAACAAAATTAATGAATACAAACAAGTCGCAATTCAGCGTAGTGTTTATGAGCTTGCCTAGAGAGAAGAGATTGGTGGGGGTTGGAAGCAAGCCAGCTTGGCAAGAGATATAGAGCATGACTCTCTATAATAAAAACAAATGATGAATACTAATCCTTCTGCTTCCTTCACAGTGACTTATCATCTTACATATGGCAAAACTGGCCAAAGGCTGTCTGAACTACACACACGCCACTCAGGTTTAACCTGCTTCAGGGAAGGGACAAGCATGAGAGGTAAGGTGTTGCAATGCCTAACCAGACTTTCTCTTTTCTCAGAGAGAGGTCCAGGTCAAGTTCAACATTGGTTTATTCCATTTTTTTTTTTTTGAAAAAATAAAGTCTCTGCTTTAAGATATCTCTAAATTTACATGTTCATATCAGGCTTTAGATTCATCCTCAAAACAATTTTTCCTCCAGACTGCTTGATCTCAATAAATGCTACCAACACATGCCATGTACTTTGCTCAAGCTAACACTGGAAGTTATTCATAACAGTTCTCCTTTCACATTAACCGCATCCTTATCACATGGATAAAATCTTCTTTTTTTTTTATCTAAAGTTCTCAGTAATAGCCATCTGCATGCCAAGCATCAGCTTTATTACTGGTCAGTGTGAATCCTGGAACATGGTTCAGGATGAGATTGCCCTCACTGTAAAACATAGTCCTGGTAACTTCCTATGTGAAGAGCTGGGGCAGTTGAATTCAGAATCATAATTTGCCCCACACTATGTCTGGTGAACAAAGTCAAAAAAAGGTAAAGTACATGTTTGCAGTAGTCTTTATGGCCTTACTCTTTCCAAGAAAAAAAAAAAAAATCCAAGTAGATTTCAGACTCTTGCTACTTCAAGAACTAAATAATCCAATCCTCTGCTTCTATGCGGAAACCTATGAGGGGTAAAACGAGGGCAGATGTTTCTTTGTATTTCTATGAGATGTTGGAATTTTCCATTTTATGTTATTTGGCAACAATATGGTACATGGGGTGGTTAGGGAGGATTTTCTTTACTCTCCCTGACTTCTGGTTCTCTTGTCACCTTGGGGTTCTTTTGTCAAACAATTGTGGAGCTGGCCCTACTGAGGAGGGAGACAATTCTATCAGGAGGTAGGCACTCCAACAACTGGAATTTTCAAGAATGCCTTCTTGGAAGCAGCCATGGGTGCTTTACCCTTTGCCTTCAGAATGTTCTGAAATGAACGAGACAGAGATGGATATTAATGAAATGAACCCTACATTTGCAGAAGAGACTGCAAATTTACTCCTTAAAAATACCCAACCTGGGGGCGCCTGGGTGGTGCAGTCGGTTAAGCGTCCGACTTCAGCCAGGTCACGATCTCGCGGTCCGGGAGTTCGAGCCCCGCGTCGGGCTCTGGGCTGATGGCTCAGAGCCTGGAGCCTGTTTCTGATTCTGTGTCTCCCTCTCTCTCTGCCCCTCCCCCGTTCATGCTCTGTCTCTCTCTGTCCCAAAAATAAATAAACGTTGAAAAAAAAATTAAAAAAAAATACCCAACCTGGTATTATTTATGGTCAACTAAGCTCATCAATACAACTAATTCAAGTTACACGATTCAAGCTTACATGATAAAATTATTTTACTTAATACCATATCAGCAAATAAAAGGGCCCCAATGTTAACAATATCTTTTCAAATTCTTATTACAATGAAGAGGAAGAGCAAAAGTCTAAACACAAAATTTTCATTTCAATTACAGTTAAGAAATAATTGATAGTCTCAGTGTGTCTTCTCCAATTTGTTTCCCCCTGAGTCCCAGTCAGAGTGTTGAGATGTTCAGATGCCCGGATAAAGTTTCTTCAGTAGAGCTGAGCTCTAACCTAGACCTGTAGTTTTCAAATTCAGGTCCCAACAAGGATTTTGAAAAACTACATACCCTCTTATACAATTTATTTTGACATTAATTTTTTTTTTTTTTACCAAGTTGTAGAAATGAAAGGTTTAAGTTCTAAAATATAAGTATTGGGGCGCCTGGGTGGCTCAGTGGGTTGAGAGTCCAACTATGGCTCAAGTCATGATCTCGTGGTTTGGGAGTTCGAGCCCCGCATCAGGCTCTGGGCTGATGGCTCGGAGCCTGGAGCCTGTTTCCGATTCTGTGTCTCCCTCTCTCTCTGCCCCTTCCCCGTTCATGCTCTGTCTCTCTCTGTCCCAAAAATAAATAAAAAACGTTGAAAAAACAAAAAACAAACAAACAAAAAATCACGACTGTTAAAACCCAGTCAGCACTCCTTTATGTTTAACTTTTACAGATTGTTTCCGCTTCCTAGAGAAGTACTTCTTAGGAGAATAGGGAAATGTAAAATTTGATAACCCAAATGCGATTTCACTGGTAAACAATCAGAAATGAGATGACACACCTCTGAACTTATAAAATTAAACAATGACTACAAGTACAAAAACTGACATGTAATTTTAAAGGAATTCCGTCTCTTGGTTAAAAAAAGAAAAAGAATAAATTCTGCCTGAGATGGGTGGGTTAGGAGTCGTCCCCTCCTGTGATCTTGTTGGTGTTTTGGCTTGTTTTCTTGGCCAACGTGCTGTCGTGTGACTGTTCATCATGCCTCACATTTTCTTTTCGCTTTAGAGTTCTAGGAAATTGCAGTCTATGACTCCTTCTTTTTTTCATGCAGAATTTCCTTGTCCAGCAACTGAATGAATCGTTGTCTTATTTTCTGGGACTCTCAGATACACAAGGGAATGACAATTGGCAATGGATTGATCAGACACCTTACAAGGAAAATGTCAGGTGAGTGCCGAATCAGATGAATGACCCATAGGGCCTTGTTTAGGTAGAAAAGTTAGGGGAATTCGTTCGTAGTGATCACTAGTGCTAATATTTACAATTTTAACAGTGATAACAGATTCTAGCAGTAAGCTCTTACTAAGTACATGTATTATATCACTTAAACTTCATGAAAGCTTATTTTTTAGAACTCACCTTATGGGTTAAAAAATTGAATAACTTGCTCAATGTCAATAAACTAGTAAGATGAAAAACTAGGTCTCAACTTCATGTCTACCTAACTCCAACGATGGTGACGCTCTCAGCCATTACATTTTACTGCTTCTAAACACGTGTAGACACTTCAATCAAATTTTTCTCCAGTTAATACGATTTAAAATATCCAGGGAAGAACTATGTTCAGTTCTGATGGGATAATAACATAATAATACTATTTATTTGTGGCTTAAAAATCCATTTAATTGTACATTGTCTCATTTGATTTTCACACAATCTCGTGATCCATTTGGAGACCTTATTATGATTCCTGTTTTTTTTAATTTTGAAGTTTATTTATTTATTTTGAGAGAGAGAGAAAGAACAAACAGGGGAGGGTCAGAGACAGAGAGGAGAGAGTGAGAATCCCAAGCAGGCTCTGTGCTGCCAGCTTAGAGCCCAATGTGGGCTCAATCCCACGAACCATGAGATCATGACCTAAGCCAAAGTTGAACACTCAACTGACTGAGTCAGCAAGTTGCCCTTGATTCCTATTTTTAATAGATGAAGAATCTAATACCTGGGAGAGTAAGTTACTTCTCTAAGATCAAAGTAAGCCAGCAATAAAATCCAGTTTCTTCATTCCAAAAATAAGGTCCTACCCACACCCTCACCTCCTACCACAGACTGCATTCCTTGGAAGCAGGGTAACTTCTTATATTCAGACTCATTCTCTCTGACATTTGTTTAGTGTCGATCCATGAGAATAGAGAAACTAACTTAGGAATGTGATAAGAGTACAAAAACTTTAAGAGTACACAAATGATAAGGCAGCCCCTTTATTACAGGCCACTAAGAGAGGAACTTTTTTAATAACTTAGGTTGGGATAAGGGCTCTGAATAGATGAGAAAAGTGAAGATCAGAATCTGGGGGGCGGGGCGGGGGGGAAGGTCCAAGGACACTCTATTGCATACAAATGTTGCCAGGGGAGTGACAGAGGAGCACGAGTAAAGGTATGTATCCACACTTGAGGTTTTTGAGGAGGGCAATATGAGAAGAGGAGAGCCATCATTGGGATGTTCTGTCACTCTGAACCTCATTGTTCAACCCTGACCCTACATACTTTCTAATCAATCGCAATGCATTCATTGACGAAGACTTTTGCCTTTTTGTTTCTCTTTAGAGTCTGGCACCAGAATGAGCCCAATTTTTCTGCAGAGGAATGTGCTTCAATAGTTTTCTGGGAAAACAGAGGATGGGCCTGGAGTGATGTTTTCTGTGATACTAAGAGAAACTCAGTATGTGAGATGAGGAAGATTTAGCTCTGAGCGGAACTTTATTCACTGACACCTTTAAAGTTAAGACCTGTCATAAAATGATAATTTCCTCTTACGCTTATGTATAATCTTTGTCACAGGGGTTCGTGGAAATATTCAGATACCCTTCTGCCTTCAATCATCCCTCTTCTAGTTTCCTCTTTTTCACTAATGATAAGATGAACTCTTCCTTCATTTTCTCTTTAATTTGTTCTTCATTCTTTCCTTTCTTCATATTTCTTTTTGCAAACACTCCTTGTGCCAGAGGCTGTACCGTTTTGTCTGTTAGAAGACTCATAAGGAAGTAACTTTTGAAAATTATGAATTTCTTTCACCAAAATGCCGCTTAAAAGCCCGTTTGGCCAAGATGGTGACTGGGACTGCAGTCATTGGAATCCCTGGCAAGAGCTGAAGGATTTGCTTCCTAGAAAGTTCACTCACATGGCAATTTCATATTGGCTATTGGTAGAAAGCCTCAGTGCCTCACCACAGGGATCTCTCCTTGGGGTTATTTGAGTGTCCTCACAATATGTTGGCTGGCTTCCACCAGAGCAAGTAATCCAAGAGAGCAACTGAGAGCAGCAACGTCTTTTGTGATCTAGCTTCAAAAGCCAAACACCATAATTCCATTGGTCACACAGACCAAACCTGATATAATAAAGAAGAGGGCTGGGGCACGTGGGTGGCTCAGTCGGTTGAGTGTCCAACTGGCTCAGGTCATGATCTCACGGGTGGTGAGTTCAGGCCCCGCCTCGGGCTCTGTGCTGATGGCTCGGAGCCTGGCACCTGCTTCAGATTCTGTGTCTCCCCCTCTCTCTGTCCCTCCCCTACTCATGCTCTGTCTCTCTCTCTCTCTCTCTCCAAAATAAATAAACATTAAAACAATTAAAAAAAATTTTTTTTTTCAACATTTATTTATTTTTCGGACAGAGAGAGACAGAGCATGAATGGGGGAGGGGCAGAGAGAGAGGGAGACACAGCATCGGAAACAGGCTCCAGGCTCTGAGCCATCAGCCCAGAGCCTGACGCGGGGCTGGAACTCACAGACCGCGAGATCGTGACCTGGCTGAAGTCGGACGCTCAACCGACTGCGCCACCCAGGCGCCCCTAAAACAATTTTTTTTAAATAAATAAGAGGACTATCCAAAGGTATGAACACCAGAAGGTGAGAATCATTGAGGACAATCTTGGAGTCTGGCTGTCAGAGTGGAATTTCCTTATAAAGATACAAAATGTGTATTCCAAGAAGCAAAATAATTAAAAATTCTTCTACAATAAAAATATGAAACTCATGTTCATCAAAACACTATAAAGAAAAATTTTTAAAGTTGAACTGCAAGAAGATATTTTATTTTATTTTCTTAAAGATTTAATTTTTTTAAGTAATCTCCACACCCAATGGGAGCTCGAACTCACAACCCTGAGATCAAGAGTTGCATGCTCTACCAACTGATCCAGTCAGGTGCCCTGAAGATATTTTAAATACTTGTCACTAATACAGTATTAATACTGCATAAGAACATATAAACAACTGTCACAAATCAATTAGAAAAGACAGAAGTTGGGCAAAATATTTAAACATTTTACAGGGGCGCCTGGGTGGCTCAGTCGGTTGAGCGTCCGACTTCGGCTCAGGTCATGATCTCACAGTTCCTGAGTTCGAGCCCTGCATCAGCCCTGCGCTGACAGCTCAGAGCCTGTAACCTGCTTTGGATTCTGTGTCTCCCTCTCTCTCTGCCCCCCCACGCCCACTTGTGCTCTGTCTCTCAAAAATAAATAAATTGTTAAAAAAAAAAAAACATTTTCCAGAAGAGGAAATACAGAATCCAATAAATGTGTTTTTATAGAGATGCTCGGCTCTACTAATAATTTGAAAACTGTCAATCCAGACCACAATAATATACTATTTCATATCCATTTTAATGGCTAACGTTAAGAAACATAACACCAAGAGTTGGAAGAGATGTAGGTAAATGGTGAGCTTATACTGTTACAACCATATCGGAAAATAAATAAATCTACATTTTTCCTATGAAACATCACCTAACAAATGCTGTGTGGAGTGAGATCTAAGTCTATGAAATGTGGGTACTGGAATGAAGAGTTATGCTATGGGGATAACTTTAACTAGGGAAACCTTCTGCATTGTATGCTTACGTTATTTAGGCACGTACCTGGTAAAAGTGAAAACAAAACAAGGGTTAGATAAACATAATTCTCAATGTAATGGTTACAATTGGATGGTAGGCCGGGATTGGGAGGAACACTTAGGCACGTGATAGAGTTCCAGGTTTTGTATTGGGCAGTGGTGTTTATATAATAAACATTAAACAGGGGCACCTGGGTGGCTGGGTTGGGTAAGTGTCCAACTCTTGGTTTCTGCTCAGGCCACGATCTCATGGTTCGTGAGTTCAAGCCTCACATTGGGCTCTGTGCTGACAGTGCAAAGACTGCTTGGGATTCTCTCCTCCTCTCTCTGCCCCTCCCCTGCTCTCTCTCTCTCTCTCTCTCTCTCTCTCTCAAAATAAATAAATAAACTTAAAAAAATTAAGAAAAAAACACGCAAAAAAACACAACAAAATGAAGCAAGAATATCAAGAAGGTAGTGTATTATGAATCTCCAATTATGATTAAAACATTTTTGTGGGGCGCCTGGGTGGCGCAGTCGGTTAAGCGTCCGACTTCAGCCAGGTCACGATCTCCCGGTCCGTGAGTTCGAACCCTGCATCAGGCTCTGGGCTGATGGCTCGGAGCCTGGAGCCTGTTTCCGATTCTGTGTCTCCCTCTCTCTCTGCTCCTCCCCCGTTCATGCTCTGTCTCTCTCTGTCCGAAAAATAAATAAACGTTGAAAAAAAATTAAAAAAAAAAATTTTTGTGGACCCAAAGTCCAAATATAAAAATAATTAATGAAAGTCTAGTTTAATGAAAGTTGGGAGTTCTTGACTGATACCTTTGAATTCAGGATCACTTTGAAGTAGCAGTGGTCCCAGATTCCAGAAGCTCTTGCTGCCATGTCACTGTCACCACAATTGTCTCTCCACCCACAAGAGGCCACACATTGGAATCCTCAATCTACCCCTACCAATCACATCTGGAAACGCATCATTTATGACCTTGATTATTGGCAGAAACATCCGCAGGAAAATCTCTCCTGCTTTATGTTTACTTCCAAGTCTCACACTGTTTCATCTAATTGGTGGTGAAAAATTTTCATGAAGACAAGTCGGAAGGGAATCTGAATAATGTAGTTCATAGCTTTGGGTAAGTTTACCTGTACTGTAGTGTTTAAGTCTGTTTGGGCCGCTCTACTAAAATGCCAGAGACTGGGTAGCTTATAAACGGTGGAGGTTTATTTCCCACTGTTCTGGAGAATGGGCAGTCCAAGTCAAGGCACCAGCATGATCACATTTTGGTGAGAGCCCTCCTCCTAGTTCATAGCCTGCACCTTATCACTGTCTTCACGTGGTGGAAGACATGTGAAGTCTCTCGAGAGCCTCTTTTATAAAGCATTCATCTCATGCAAAAGGACTCCATTCTCAATACCTAAGCACTTCCCCAAGGTCTCATCTTCTAATACCGTATGTATTTCAACCTATACATTTTGTGGGGACACAAACATTCAGACCGTAGCAGGTAGGTAGATGTTTCTTAGATGTTTGGTGTAGATTTATCCATAAAGTTCTCCGGGCTTGCTGCCTATTTAAGACTGTTTATTTGGACTACGTTTTCCTTTTATTTTCCCCCTACCATTTTTAGGCTTGATCAATTTAATTTCTATTTTCTAGAAAATCATTTATCTCACCTTATTTTTTTTTTTTTTTGAGCAGAGAACATGCTTTATGGAGGAATAGATAGGGAATGGCACTACCACATGTGGGGAAGGGTTAGCTTCAGTAAAGTTCCTTTACCCTTAAGAAAACCCCCAGTGACGTTGCTTTTAGACAAACTTTAACAGTGACACTGAAACTGGTTAAATATGCTTAAAATTAGTTCCCCCCAGACTGCAGTGGGTGTGAGTAGTGACAGAGATGATGAGAGAAAGGCACAAATGACCAGAGTCAGGAATGTGAGGGTTCCACATACAGTGGAGTATTGTAGGACACCAGGTTGGGAAGGGTGTCACGTCATATATCAAAAGCTTGGAAGGGCCCCCATCAAAAAGTTGGAAGGGCCCCCATGTTTATAGCAGCACTACCAACAATAGCCAAAGTATGGAAAGAGCCCAAATGTCCATTGATGGATAAATGGATAAAGAAAATGTGGTACCTATATACAATGGAGTATTACTCGGCCATCAACAAGAATGAAATCTTGCCATTTGCAACTACGTGGATGGAACTGGAGGGTATTACGCTAAGTGAAATTAGTCAGTCAGAGAAAGACAAAAATCATATGGCTTCACTCATATGAGGGCTCTAAGAGACAAAACAGATGAACACAAGGGAAGGGAAACAAAAATAATATAAAAACAGGGAGGGGGACAAAACAAAAGAGACTCATAACTATGGAGAAAAAACTGAGGGTTGCTGGAGGGGTTGTGGGAGGGGGCATGGGCTAAATGGGTAAGGGCCATTAAGGAATCTACTGAAATCATTGCTTCACTATACACTAATATGGATGTAAATTTTAAAAAATAAAAAAGAAAGTTAAAAAAAAAGAAAGGAAAATGGAAGCCATCAAAAAAAGAAAAAAGTTGTAAGGGTCTGGACAGAAATTAAAGGGAACATCTATCTCTTGCTTTGCCTGAACACCAAAAATAGGAAACCAGGGGATAGGGGGGAACGGTGGCAAACCCCCAAAAAGGAAATGGAGGAGGAGTTCTTGGAAGGGCATGGGCACTTTAGTTCAAGAAGGAAGGTGAGGCACTGTTAAAGAGAAGCAAACCTTGGCGGGGGTGGCCTGCTGAGTCTGGGGCAGAGATCTGGAAATCATTCGCGGTCGTGTCCTACCTACCTCGCCAAGGATGTTCAGACAAAAATCGGTGCAACTGAGGTGTGCTACATCAGACTGGTACTGGGGAGAAGGTTTCTGCAGTCTAATGAACCTGTTCGCCTGCAGCATGAAGGAGGACTGAAC